CCCCAAAACCCCAAAACCCCAAAACCCCTCAATCAAATAATGAACTGATATTAGTTGAATTAGTAAATTTAAATAGAGATTTCCAAGTAGATAGAATGAACAAAAATTTAGTTTATTACCTATCTTATTTTCGAAAGAAATCATCATCTGAAGGTTTTCTTTCAAAAATCTTCTAATCATTCTTAGTTTTGTGTCAAAGGAATTTCCCCACCACTTTCTTATTAACTAACTTTATTCTAATAAGTATGTAAAGTTTTTGTCAATAACTCCTTAAGATTTGTCTTTCCATCTGGATTATTAATCATACCCTCAAGCTTCCATGAGTTCAGATACATCACATTGTGGCCATTTTGAAGAATCATTTTGTGTTTAAGACCAGTAAAGTTGTTATATTTCTGAGTAAAAGGATAGAACTTATTTCTACCATTGATTTCAATGCACAGCTTAGCTGAAGGGATATAGAAATCTGGTTAAAGCAGCGCATCTTCAAGGAATAACTCTTCCTTGAAATCATTTTCACTGCCTAAGATTTCCTTTAATGCATCTCTAACAAATAAGTTTTCTTTTGAGACAGTCTAGCCAGTCTCACCTCCCTCATTATTAAAAGTCTTTTTCTTGTTTTGAGATATGAATATCTATCTTGACATCTTTTCTAAATCCTCTAAACCTTATACTTAAGATTAAGGCATAAAAACAGATAGGATTTTGACAATAGTTCCACTACGGTTAGAAGGAAGTTCTAGCAGTAAAGACTCAGTAACAATTCTCTTTAGCGATTCTAACAATATATCGATTTATTCAAAGTATCTGGAATTATTGAGGACCATTGTGTAGAGCAAAAATATCAGTTTCTCTGCATCTTCAGCCTCGATATTTCTTATATACTCTAAATGCTCTGGGTTATGTTTAATCTCATCCTATAGACTTCTATATAGAGAAAACCTTCGATGCTATCTCTACTCTTATTAATCATCATTTTTTACTTAAGCTTAATCCTAGTTCTCTTCTTATGCTTACTTTTATTGATCTATGAAAAACTCTTTGCCATAACTCATTAGCAACATACTGTACTAATTAGGAGATTTGAATAGTCTGAATTTATCATCGAGAGCAGGCTTTATGACATGCTGCTTGATCAAGAAAGTAGCTTAAGGGAAGCATGAGTGATAGACGAATGGGTAAATTAACTTATATATCTATCTATCCTTTGATTCTGGTATTAATTACACTACTTCTTAAGTCAATCTATGAGCAGCTCTCTTGTCTTTAGCCAAAGTCTCCATGATTGTTTAAAACAGATCTTAAGCGACTCTATTCTATTAAATCTACTGAGTGTATCTTTAAGCCATAACTTTAATTATAATGTTTAAATTCAAATAAATTCTCTTTATATTATTACTAGTTGATACAATAAACATGGGGTTTTGGGGTTTTGGGGAGATCGGAAGAGCG